AAATCAAATATTAATCAAAAATTTAATTTAATCCAATACTCAGAACTGATTGGGGGCTCTTGTTTGTGGGGTGAGATGGGCCGTGCGCCATTCTGCTCACAGGACCTTGCTGTCCAGGCTACTGCATGGCTCAGACAAGAAGGCAACTGGAAGCACACCCGAGGGGGCCAGAGGAGCAGTCCACAGGTCCGCCCTCGCTCCTAAAAGGCTGTGGCAATGGAGCGCACACAGCAGACAGGGCGGGGTAGCCAATCTGAGGGTCATGGGCAAAATGAAGTTTCCAAGAAAGTCCAGGAAGAGACTTCTTGGTCTACAGTGTGTGGCACCAGGACAGGGAGACAGTACCTTGACTGTTCCTCTTTTTGCCCCATGAGGCCAGGACTCCAAAAATAAACCAACAAAAAGATACCCTCACGTGAGATCACTCAGAATCAGACAGGGTTCAAATTGTACAAACAACAATTTCTTGCTGAAGCAAAATAAAATTTCTTGGAATTTGAACATCTCTAAATTACAACCACTTTAGAATCTGAAATTAGAAATCACTTAGAAACACAGCCTCCCCCCTCCTCTTCAGGTTCCCACCTGTGACCCCTGAGCAGATCTGTGTGCACATAGTTGCCCTGTGCCTCTCCTCACTTTGTGTTTAGTTCATTCTCCAGTTCTGTTAATTTACGGGAAGCTTTCACTTTATTGGACACATCTTGACCTTGTGAAAAAAGGCGCTGACGCTCTCTGAATGTCAGGTTTTCAGGGGCTCCGGAGCTTCCAGGTAAATCTGCATCTTGGCTGGACAAGAGACAAATGAAAGATTACCCTTCAATGCAGACATGCCTGCCCATAGCTAGCTAAGTCTGCATAATGAGCAATCAGTTGAAACTCTCAGAGAGGAGACACATTCTTTGCTGAATGTTGTTATAACGCTTCTTACAAGTAAGTTTACTGGGGCTATGTTTAAACCCACATACAAATATAGGCAAAATGTTCTCCTTGTTAAAATTATAACATTCCCCAGTCATATCCAACATTCAGACACTAGTGAGTCAGATTTCAGCAAGCAGGTGTTTCTTACCACTTAAACAAATTTAACCAAAGGGTGCAGTTTCAAAATACAGCATATGACTCACACCTATAGATGCATCTAATTTAATACTAGGAACCAGAATGGCTGTTTTCAAAATAGCTGGCATTGAGAACTAAGATCCAGGTGAGGACAGTCTGTGATAATGTACAGCTGGTTTATACTCTGGGCAATCTTAGGGTTGACTCCACATGGCTGAGCAAATCCTTGGCTACTCTCCTCAGATTTTCAACCTTCTCTGGTAGAAGCAAATGGCAACACAGCTAACTGCTTCTAGTGCCTGGCCGGTTAGCCCAGCACCTATATCACTGTCTGAAACAGAGCTACATGAGAAAACCAACGTTAAAAAGCTTCCATGTGCTCCTGTGATCTTGTACAATGGAGACACTGAGCTCATGAAGCCTTTGAAACTTCAACCCAGTTTCACACAAGTTAGCAACACCTTTGTCACAGACACTACCAGCATGACTCGGGTACCTTCTGGTGTGCTTCTCTCTTGCATCCCGAGGAGCATCATGGGCACCGCTGACTGCCCCAGCAGACGCTGGGTAAGGGTTCGGTCCTTTTCCAAAAAAGAAAAAGTCCAAGTTAAAGTACCTGATTATCTGTAAACCTTCATGACAATAAAGATACAGTGACCCCCACAAAATAAGACACCTTTAATCACTGAGCAAACAAGAAAGCCAAGGCTCTTCATATCAGATGAAAGAGGCACCTCAGGAAACCTGCATCTCTTGGTGGCCTGAGTAACCCAATCACTACTCAGCTGGTGCTCAACAGCTCACCTCCCTTCATCATTTGAGTGGAACACTGCGGTGGATGTGTGATAACCAACTCAAATCTGATGGAGTGCACGGTGAGTACAAGTTCAGAAGACAAAGCCACAGAAATTTCACTTAAATGGGAGGTTAGCAAAGTGTTCCAACATGCTGCTGAAACCAAGAATTTTTTTACAAGATCTCTGAAGCAAATGCAGTGCCAGAGATTAAGCAGGTAAGCACATGATTAAGTTCTTCTCTGGAAAGCTACTGAATTATTTTTCAAGACAAATGGTTGTAATTATTAAAAACAAAGTAAAGTTTTTTAAGCCTGCTGGGCTGCCATGGCTGCTCATTGCATCAACCAGTCAGGCAGCCCCCCAGTACCCTTGGTGAGTTGCTGGAGATCCAGAGATGATGTAAATGGAGAGTTCCAGGTGTATCCAAGCATGTGGTAATACTACCACTGATAGTATAAAAATCACAGTGTACTAAATCATTATTAAAGTGTACCTATTAATTGTGACAATAAAATATAAAAAAAATTCACACCTGAAAAACCTGCTTATAAAAATATAGGCTGGAGTACTGAATGCTCAAAATACCCCACACTGACAGTATCAAATATTGAATTAAACAGGCCACAAAGCTACTGCTGTACCTTTATATTAAAGCCTCTTTCCCCCCAAACAAGGTACACAAAATGAACTTTTAAGATGAGTTTTCTTCCATATGAAGAGTCCATGGTGCAGAGCCCCCCAGACACACAGACGAGAGGGGGGCCATGGGGTGCTTTACCCTATGGCTGCCCCAGGGCCCCCCTAACAAGGCTCAAAAGACACAGCAAAGCATGTCTCTATTTCACGGTCACCCACAGTGGCCTCCTGGAAACTATGAGAAAGGGTCTTTGGAGAGAATTCCAAACACATCTTTCATTTCGTCTGTCTTTAAAAAATACTGTGGCATCTTTTGAGCTTTGTTGGAAATGATACTGGCTTCTTTCACTGGTAAAAAAAAAAAAAATCAATTTTTCAAAACTTTTAAACTTTGTTCCTAGAATATCAAAAACCTCCAGCAATATATATATATATATATATATATATATATATATATATATGAATATTACCAATTATAAAGTTTCCCCAGAGCTTTAGTAATGCTTCTTTTTCAATATGTTGCTATGCTGAAATCAGCATTATTTATTCTGATTTGTATCCAAATTCTGTTCCTCACACTGCCCAGTGGAAGAGGCCAAGTCCCACGTGCAGAAGCATGCTTGCCAGAGAGGTCACAACAGAAGGCTGGACACAGGCATGCGAGGGAGTGGACGAAGACAGGGCCGGGTGGGCTCTGCATGAGCTGCAGAGGCCGCAACTTTACGAAGGATCTTCAAAGAGGCTGAGCAATCAGATGCAGGCTGTAACCTGCTCCGAAGTGCCACTTCGTTGTGAAATAAAGTAAGGGTTAGTGATAGGACTGAGAGCCAAGATGGTTAGAAATGACTCCGACCTGCAGCGTTCCGCCACCAAACCTCACAATTGTCACAACACTTACAAATTTGTACAGCTCAGCTTATAAAATTTAATACAACACTGATAGCACCTTCCTTCAAAATTTGTTACTCCATGAGTGTCTCTAAGAGATACCAAGTTCTAAATACTTATGGTGAAATTCTACAAAAAAGATTCAAGTTGGCTTTCAGAATTTCTCAACCTAGGTATTATGAAACACCAAGCCTTCAATGTGGATTAAAGCTGATTCAGGTAGAGAAAAGGCAGAATTTGGGGAAACACTCCTCTGTCAGGTTGCACTGAGCTCTGAGCTGCTGACCTCCACTTGTTGGTGACGTGGAGCTCCACAGAATTCGGAAGGTGCATGCACTTGCTAAAGCTACACAACTGACCAACCGACTGTATCTGAGTGGGCTCAAAGCTGAATCCCAGTATTGTCACCTGGGTGGAGTTCAGTGTACCTTAAGCATAACTCCTGCTGCTCTGGCACCTCTGCAGGGAGCAGCCTCTGCATGCAAGCAGCCAGAGCTTTCCCTAACTAACCACAACTAGGTCTGCTGCTGCCTGGCTTCTTTCTGAGTGAAAGGCCAAGGAAGGAAGGCCTGGGCGAGGAGAGGAACCGGAGGACAACTGGGGCACTAGATCCTGGGTAGTGGCCGTGCTGCAGACCAGCTCAGCAGATGTTCCACCCCCCCGACAAGCCACCACCAAGTATGGGATACCTGATGTGGAAACTAAAAATGCACGTTCTTTGCTACCTTTAGAGTCAGTTCAATGTGTGAAAAAGGCACTTGCTCAACCACAGGTGAAAATTGTTGGAAGAGGGAGAGAATGAAAGCCAAGACCAACAGTACTCATGGTCTGGAGTAAAGGGGGAGGACTGATTGTCAGCTGATCAACGGGATGGAGCTTCTCAGAGTGAGAGAAACCAGAGACATTCATCAGCAGAGCAATTAGCAGGACAGTGCAGCTGGGGGTGGAGGGAGATCACCCTGCTGAGTGTCACCAAGTGGAACCCAGACTCCACAGCAGGCGATCTCGGGCCACCCCAGGTGCAGCTGTGCAGAGACCAGGTCCCAATCATCAAGACCAGAGGGTGGGGCTTGCACTCTCTCTTTTACCTCTACCTTTACAGTGGCCAGGATGGCAGAAGCTTGGTTTGTTTGGAGGGGGTGGGGGCTGGCCTGTTTTGTGGGCAGTACTGTTGGCTTTGGCCGAGGGTGGCTGGAATGAGTTGGAGAGAAAGATGCCATCGGAGGCCGGGCGTGGCTTGCAGGGGGGCTGCTGTGGCTTAAGGGCGGCAGGAGGAAGATGCCCATAAGACTTCCTCACGCTGGAGTACTTATCCTGACCTGCTAGGCTGCAGTCCTCCTCCTCCTCCTCCTCATTGTACGAAACAAACTTGGCAGTGAACAGCGAGTCTGGGGAGAGGACCTGTGTTTTGAGGTAGGAGGCGTTTCGCTGAGGTGGGGGAGGAGGGGCGCTGGGCACAGGGGACGGGGATGGGGGCTCGTAGTCCCGTGGAAGCGGAGGTCGGCACAGCCCGGGCTCCTCGGGCTCCAGCAACCTGCGCGCCGCCTCCTCGTGCTGTCTGCGCCTCTCGGCCTCCAGGCGGCTGTAATACCCTTCTTCCTGTCGCCTCTGCAGGCGGGAATAGACAAGAGTACAAGGTCAGAGATCAGGAGGGGACAGGCGGACCCTTTGGGCCTTCACGGAATATGACAGGTGCACTGACCACCAGGCCCCATCTTCACACCGACCACATGTCCACAGGAGTCACATTTAACTGTCACAACTACTGCAACAGAAGAGGTGGGTCAACCCAGAAATAGTCTCCTTGGGGAGAATCTTTCTTTCCTGGGAAGGGTACGTAGGTCACAGTTGGACTAATCTGGGTTATGTGACATAAAACTGCTCAGCAATAGTTTAGATCACTATCAGGCCCCTCCAGTCACGAAACAAGATGAAGCCTTACACTCCTTTCTTTCCTCCTGCTTCTCCTCCTCCTCCTCCTCCTCTCCCCTTCTGTTTTGGAAGGACATTAACTTACCTGTTAATGCTGTTTTACTAGGAAACCATAAACTGTAAGGAATATCACTTATTTTCCCAAAGCAACAAACTAACAAATAATGCTTTCCAGTTCTTAACTTACATTTCAAATCTTAATAAACTCCCTGGTGGACAGAAAATTAGAGAGCCAAGCATGAATAGCAACAGCAACAAGATACTGAATTCAAATATATTTTGACACATACTGAACATTTTTTCTGACATACATCTGCACAAACTACAGTTGACAGTGTTAAAATTGTTTTGACATTAAAAAAAGGTAACAGCACAGTTTTGTTAAAGATTGACATGAGTTTTAGAGCACAGAGGAAAAAAAGTAAGTATGAAAGGGAGTGAAAGACCCAACAGATCACCTGCTTAACCCCAGTGAATGTCTAGTGCTGGAGTACAGTGAAGTTTCAATTCATTCAACAAAGAAGAATTGCTGGGGCCCTGCTGGCGCCAAGATAATTGTTCATTCTTGTACCTCTGGGCTGTATCCTCTCCTGCTCCCTCTAGAGCCAAAGCTCATACACATACACACCAAAGCCCCTGCTCCAACTGCAGAACCCAAGGAGGAAACTAAGGAACTGCCAGCCCTCTGCACTCCGTACACCAACTTCGAGCTTCACCTTCTGCTCTCTGCTGAGAGACCCTTGAAGGAGAAGAATTCTTATTCTCCTATCTGTACAACGTCAGCAATCCCTTGGGCAGGGCAAATTAGAATGACTTCTGTGGCTTTGGAACAGCTCTACCAAGAGCCTTGGAGTTACAGGAGGAGCAAGCTGCCTGATAACACAGGGCGGAAACCAAACCCCTTGCAGTTACACCAAGAGCAGATACAGTCACATGACCAAGGGGACGTGACTCTACCCAGAAAAGGACCACACATTTTTCTATGACAATACAAACCCGTCAATTCTGAACATTCTGTATTAAAAATAGGGTTTTCAGCTTTTTTACAGTGACCACTCAATTATAGAAGCAGTTACTAAAACACAAGTGCATTCAGCATAATAGTAAGTTCAGAATGCACGTTGGAAAAATGAACCCAAGAGTTCCTCAACAACAAAACGCAGCCTGGCCCTCTGTGGACACAGCCCTGAGGTGATGGCAAGGCTGCCTCACCATGGCTCCAGTGAGGCCAAGACGGGGCCTGACCACAGGCATGGGCACCGGCAGCACTGGCACAGCTGGCAGGCACTGACCTGGGAAAGGCACCCTCCTAATAGGCAAGGGGCTTTCTCAGAATAGCAAACCACCACCAACAATGCCACAGGCTTAGAAACCAGAGGGTCAGATTCTGGAAACCTCTGCTTTGCCTCTGTTACACAAGTGAAAGACTTGTGGGGAAACCCAGCTCCCCCAGTCCTCGGGAGCTGCTGGGCCACAGCAGTGCTGGAGGATGCCCTTCACAGAGGCCCAGGCCTCCCAGCATCCATTGCTTGCCTACACACGCTCCACTCTAGGGGTCACCTATTCCCTAAGTCTAACTGAGCCACAGCATGATATCAGTCCTGCTTGTGGTTAGATTGTCCTGTAGCCTAATCCATCACCACACTACCAAAAGCTTCCTAAAAACAATGGCAGGGGATGGGGGTCCTACTGACACAGCTCACTGCACTATCAAGGAAACAACTGCTAATAAAACTAAGCTTTCCCTGTCACAAGTTGTGACGCTCAAGGCTTCGACCTTCACAGAAGGGAGGTGACTGGGGAGCACGGCCCCTCTGCAGCTGCACAGCTCCCTGTAGTCCCTGGACGAGTTGGGGTCTTCTTGCCCATGGGGAGGGCTGCAGCTATGCACATAGACGCGGATCTGGGAACTGCCTCACAAGGTGCCCATTTCTCAAAATCAGATGTCATTTTACAATTCAACTGAAGAATCACTTGAATTAATACACACAGAGAGAAATAAATAACTCAGAATATAAATCAGGTTGTAGACTAAATTTTCCTTGAATGATTTTTTTTTTTTTTTTTTAAATAGCCATCTGTTCTCTTAACCACTACAAAAATGGAGTGATTTTAGTGAAAACCCTATCTGAGATGGTCAGTTACCAGACTGTCTTACTGTTTGTTCCTACTGCCTCCCATGGGGCCGACTCAAGTCAATAACTGAACAAGTGGCATCTTCACAAAAACGAGCTGGACCCTGTCCAGTGGGGTCCACACCCTGCGAGGGGGCCTGCGCCCAGAGGCCCAGCGCCATGCAGACCTAGGAGTTCGGGAGTCTGAGGGACCAGCTCAGAAGGCAAGGGGCCTGGAGGCAGTCCAGAAGAGAGGTAGCAGGCCAGACGGGAGAGAGTTTTTGGTCCGTAACCAAAGCTGGGGTTCCGGCCCTGTTCTGCCGTGTGCATCTGAGCCACAAGGCTAGCCCCTCTGCCCCAGCCAATCACCAGGTCAGGCTAACTGGCAACGCTAGCTGCCCTCAGAGGACCAGGACCTTTTCTTCGGCGTCCCGCTTGGCTCGCTCCTCCTCCAGACGCCGCTCCTCCTCCTGTCTCACGCGGTCTTCTGCTTCCCGCCTGCGCATATCCTCCAACTGCTGCTGGCGTCTGCGCTCCTCGTCCTGCAACTGACAGTGAACCACTTTTAACTCTCACCCCAGCCTCCCCAGCCAAGACACCAAGGGCAGACCAGACAAGCAGGACAAGGAGACAGGACACACACAGAAGGCCGAGTTTCTACTCAGGAGATGACAAGACTCACAGCTTTACTTGCTACTTTCAAAATGAGTGCCCTAAAAACCTTGTCTCCACAGTCCCAGGGTCATCCTCCCACTCATCAAGGCTCACAGAAGCAAGCTGTCACACAGCCATGCACGAAACCACCACTCTTCCACCAGAATGGGTCTGTCAGCCAGCTCCTGTAGACTGACAGACCTGCGTGGCCGAGAGCCCCACTTTATGGAACTATGGAATGCCTCCGCCACCCCAAACACCAAGAAGGACGTCCTCTCTGTGCCTGGACCCAGTTTCTGCTGACAGCTGTTGCCAGCAGCCCACTTCCCTGGGGAAACGAGAGGCCTAGCGCTCTTGCTCCTCTAGCCCTTGGCCACTGACTCCCTCCAGATCCCATCCTGGACCCATCCTGAACCTGAGGTTTGAAAGGAACTCATTTTGATTCACTTTTGTCTGCACCTGCAAAATGCCCAGGGACCACTGCCAACCCCTCACATGGTACACTTAGGTAACGACTAGTCAGAAGTTCTTATGTTGGTCCCAAATCCATCATCTTAGTTTTTCTTTTTCTGGTCACTTAGGTCCTACCTTTTTGAAATAACACAAAAATGTAATGTCTTTACTTCATGACATTCAAACATGTGAGGACATCTTCCCATTACTCCTTCTATTTGTTTTTTTAGCTCCTTATCCTCCTGGTCACATTTCTCTGTACATCACAGGTTAAAATACCTTTTTTAGACAGACACTCCGGATTATTGGCCAGAACAACACTAGGACTCTCCTTTTTTATTGGGATATGTGGCTATTTTTTACACTGACAGCCTGAGACAGTGTAACCCCTGCACATTTCTTCTCATCTGGCATGGAGCTGGGCTACAGGACACCCATAGCCACACCATGACACACCATCAAAAGAATGATTTAAAATCTCTAAGATTACAATGAACTCAAAGCCATCTAGTAGTTCAATCTTTAACCACTGCAAAACTGCCTTACATAAAATTGCTATGATGTATTTCAATATCTAGAAAATTACCAATTTTTCTATAAATTGATCCCAACAAAATTTAAAATGTTAACTTATGAATTTAATTTTTGGGGGAAGCAAAGAAACATTAGCAACTTCTCTATTCCTTGATTCCTGTGGAACAAAACACCATATCTGATTGGAAAGAAAAAATTAACCTGTGTTATTAGTTTCTTCATATCAGTTAAGAATGCTAAAACAACTCAGAACAACTGAAGTGGCCTTGTAGGGGACAGATGAACTTTTCTTTTAGCATGACCTAGCCATCAGTGCAGAGAAGGTCAGCATGCTCAGCTGCAGGGTGGGTTTGCAGCAGGAGCAGAGCAGGCCCAAGTGGCCTGCGAACTAGGCAAGGGAGAGGCCTGTGAGAACTTCAGCCCTCGGCACCCATCATGAGAAATAGCACCCACACAGCAGCAGCAGAGCCGGGCTGTGCACCGCAGCAGGCGTTTCCCTTCCAAGCAAGGCGCTCCTCATGCTGCACTTCCCAGAGCCACGCTAAATAAGGCTGGTGCAGCAAAGCCTAGTGCCTGGTACCCGAGGCAAGCTGTTGGCAAGCTGTTATCTCTTCCAGCCCAGCAGGAGCGTCACCACAGGAGGCGAGAATGGCAGGATTTCCAAAAGCACCTGTCTGTCTTACAAATAAATCCATGAACAGGCATCGTCTACAGAAAAGCTCTATGCCTTTAAATCAGGATGGTGGACAGCAAGTAAGAGGCCTTTTCCTTGTGATCAGCTCATTAGTTACTAATTTTAAAGTAAGAAATATTAATTGGTGCTATTATAATTAAGAAGTTTCTTTCCACTCTTAGGCTAATTCATGTATTTTCATTTCCAAAATAAATTATTTTATTCTCCAAAAATATGTTCATTTATTTCCCCTCCTGCCCCCTCCAAAGCATTAATGAGAAAAAAAGAATCTATTGATTTACTCAAAATAACAGTTCCTAAAGTACATTGAACTGTGTGGTTTATGTTCGTTGAGAGTAAAAGGCATTGGAACATCAATTACAAGTCTGACCACTCTGCAACCTAGCGACACCTGCCTGATGGGACACTGGACTTCAGTCAGGTCAGCTCTTTGCTACACATGGAGAGGACGAAACGCCTGGGGAACAGACGCTCCGGACCAGGACCCAGCATGCATGGGTGGGCTATGGCCCTGCTGACTGGCAGTCCGCACATCCATGACTACTTCTGTTTTAAAAAGTGCAGGCTGAGATCTAAATGAGCAGTTTTAGGCCACAAACACCCACCTTCTCTCTCCATTTACTACAGGATCCCCAAGGCAGACAGTAGAGGTTAATATCTGAACAGGAAGTGGGCCATGATACCTTGGCTTTTTTGACATTTTCACCAAACAGACAATTTGAACTCTTGTTAAAGTCCTTAAGACTCTTCCTTCCTCTATACACCTTTCCTGCTCACTCCTACTGGAAGTGACCCCCACTACCACCACCAAAACAAAACAAAACAAAACAAAACAAAACAAAAAAACAAAACATTAAGGCCAAAAGATAAAGAACATCCACAATTAGGTAACTCATTACAACAGGCATTGGTTCCCTGAGCCCAGCTCTGCCATGCAGCTGCTTATCCAAGAGAAAGCTCCCCCATGCTATGGTCAAAGCTCTTCTTAAGAAACAGCCCTTCCCACGACAGCACCATGTGTCCCTGCCTCAGCCCAGCCTACTCGCTACTGCTGCCTTTTCCTAATCCAAGGAAACTGATTAAAATTGTAAGACCCAGAGCTCAGCTGCTGCACTGTCTCAGTGACAAACAAAGCAGAGTGACCCCAAGCAGGCAGTAAGACATGCACCTGGTGCTCCTTTAGGCCAGCTCTGGTCTTGCACCCACAGGTGAGTTCTGTTTTCTCCATAACACACACACACTGGCAGTGAGATGAACACGTTTCTCTTCCTGATTCCTTCAGTAACTCTGCCCTCCTTGGGGAGTCACTGTCCATACTGGGCAGGGCCTGTCTCTGTCCAGGGTGCTCTGGTGTAAATAGTACACAGGCAGTAACCTCCTCCTGAAGGTCACTTCCCTAGATAGGCTTTTGATCTCATCCCCTCCACTCTCTGTGTCTAATGCCTACTGCACACACCAAAGCCAGGCTAGCGAGTGGCATGGGATGGGAGGGCCAGATGGGGTTTTCACACAAGGCATCCAGAAGAGCTTCTAAAACCAAAAAACATCCTGGCCAAAGAGGAGGAGCACTGCTGTAGGGTCTCACATTATTCTAGTCAGCAGATGACCACTGAAGTGTGGTAAAAGGCAAAGCTGAGACAACCACTGGTACTGGCCAGGCCCTGGGACTGTCTGGTGGAGTGAGTGGCCAGCAGCACTGCTCTATGACAAGGAGGTGCTTTGTGTAGCACCAGGAGTACTTGGGACTGGGGGACAGGCAATGCTGCTGTGGCCGGGCCTGTGACGGCAGGCCAGACTCACACCAGGCTTGGCTCTTTTACTCACCCACTTGGCAGGTTTGTTGTGAGGAAAGGAGAAACAGAAGCGATTATTTGGCAACCTAGAGCAAAAATGGCAGGGGTTATACACACTGTCACTGGGCAGGAGGACTAGCAAGCTGCCCTGTGAACCTCTGCCTGTGAATGAAGCTTTCAAAAGCCCAGGGACCACCTGCCCTGGACCCTATTTGGATGGGCTCCATAGGCAGGACAGGTTCAGACATGCCCAGGTCTCCTGGAGCCAAATCTGCCTGTTGGAGCTAAGGGAAAGACCCTGCAGGCAAAGCTCTGCTGCAAGCTGGCCTGTGGGGCTCCTCTAGCTAGACACTGTGGGTTGAACAGGACGGTACATCACTCAGTAATCAAGACTCGGAGGGCCTCTCAGCCTCTCCCTCTCCACATGCCCTTGGAGTTCGGGGATCTGGCCCCAGAGCCACTTGCCTGGCCATTACTGACCATCAACCACATGCAAGAACACCTCCAGAAATGGACAGATATCACTGCTGCCCACAGAGGTGAATGCACATGTGATGAGCCATGTTTAGGGATGGAGGACACAGTGCTCAGTACACAAGCAGTGAGGGGGAAGGGTGATCAAGAGCTGTGGAGGAGGGCACAGGCCACAGCGCTGGGCAGCAAGCCCACAAGATGTCATGGCGGGAGGCAACCAGCCAGGGCAACCCCAGAGAGATGACATGGCGCTCAGGTACGAGCTGGCAGGCACACCGAGAGTCATCACATGGGAGCGGGCAGGCAGCCGCGTGGGCACTAAGGAGGACATGGAGCCAGACAGACTGCAGGGAGGACCAGAACGTGTTCTTGGGGGGCAGAGACTCACTCAGGAGGGCTGGGGTCTCTGAGGCTGCTACAGCTGCTCTGTCTAGAGACCCTGTGAAGGGTCAGGGGCAGAACAGAGAGTGCCGCCACACTCTCCCCATGACTAGGCAGGAAGGGACAGCAGCTCAGGCTAAGGGACCAAGGTGGTCAAGTGCTAAGGCGGAGAGGCCAACGGTTCTTGAACAGAGAGAGGGGTTATGGAGACGGCAAAAGTCCCCAGGTGAGCAGCTGAGCCTTCACTGGAACGAAGAGGGTGGAGGCAGGGGCTGCTGGGAGGCTGCGGGCAGAAGGGCTTCAGACCTGAACACTGACTGCTCCAGGAGACAGGCAGGAGGTCTCCAGGTCTCAAGGGTAAGGGGGTGTGGCACTGGCATTGTGCAGCCCTGAGGTGACAGGGGCCACTAAAGGGGTGGAAGGGCAGGAGCCAGCCTAGGCAGCCTCCCACTGTGGGAATGCCGCTGCTCCTGCCAGGAGTGGACCTGTCTCACTCGTCGCAGATGCGCTAGGACATGTCTCCAAGCTGCTCCCTGAAGACCACATGCTTGTCGCTGCCCACTAACCCTTCAGGAGGCTCCCAGGCAACCTGCGAGATCTGACAGCACGGGCATGCTACAGACAATGGCACATTATCAGTAACACGGATACTCACCAGGGCTGAGCTGAGAAATGCTCATAAACATGTGGGTTACGTGACTATTAATACTCAAAATACTTGTCTTTTTAGATGCTCAGAATTGTTTCTTTGAAATAAAAATCTAAGTGTGGGCTGGGGTTGTAGCTCATTGGTAGAGCGCTCACCTAGCAGGTGCGAGGCCCTGGGTTCGATCCTCAGCACCACATAAAAATACGTAAAATAAAGGCATTGTGTCCAACTACACTAAAAAATAAATATAAAAAAAAATCTAAGTGTGCCCATTATTCTTAATCATTGCCACTCATCCATCAATGTCTCATGGTAGAGCAGAGTCAGCCTCTTAGAGCCTCAGGCCTGTGCCTGCCACGTGGTGGACACTGACAAATGTTAAATGCTCTACCACCTGATTGATATTTTCCATTTACTTCTATGGACACCTCACATACAAAGTAGGGGGAATATATATATTTTTCACTTTTTCTTTACATAAAACAAAAGGAAAAGATGCAGAGCTCATAAAATATGCTTTCTGATTACCAGGGAAGTAACACATCTTAAGAAAGCTTTTCTGTGGGTGACACTGTCCCTGTGCTGAAGAGGGGACTGGTGAAACAGCATCAAGACAAACCCAGATTAAGAAATATTCGCAGTGCTGCCTGGGGCTGCCACCATTTCACCCCATAGTTGATCCAGAACAAAATGGCTTCAAGTCAGTAAGTACAGATCAGTCAGAATGTGACGGTCTAGCAGGTTACACATCTGCTTCTTAAGCGTGAAGAGCAGTAACTCTTCAACCAAAACTTCCCCAAACTGACAAACATGTTGGACTCACAACAGAGCACGACCTGACCATCTGGTATGGCTGATAAGCTAAGATTCCACGTTGGATTAGTAAAGAAAGTGGCAACTGAATATAATTTCAACTGAGCTTATAACAACTGAACATGTAAAATCTATTAATATAACAAGAATGAACTAGATTACTCATTGCAAACTTTAGTTGTTTAGCTCACATACTAATGACTACATAAGAATACACAGAAGCAAATTATAACTAAAACTGAGAAAAGATCAAAACCATAAACAAACAGTAACACTTAAAGTTAACAGAGAAAAGTAAAAAGTAACTAAATCTAGTAACATTCAAAAGCATGCTTCTAGAGAGTCACAGGGCCAGTCCCCTGGTCTAGGAGACCCTGGGCAGAGCTGGTCTACTGAGAACATAAAACAGCCACCACCAGAGGAGGAAGGAAAATCGAGACAGGAGAAGCACCAAAGGAAAGAAACAAGAACATACCAAATCTAGAACAGAGATTGCTGGCACAGCAGTCTGCTGCAGGCAACAGAGAAGGAAAAAAAAAAGAAAGATGAAGCGTGAAAAAAAAAGTTAGACTCAGACCTGAATTCTGCCATCGGCATACTTTGTTGCTATCATGCTTCATGTTTTTGGACAACCTGAGGAGAAAACTGAAGAACTGCAAGCTAACTTCTCATATGAGAAGCAGGAAAGTGTCCACATGGTATTAAATACTTGGGCTTCAGCATTAAGATATATAGAAACCAAAAAAGCCAAATTTCCTTTGGTCTCTTATTCGGACCTTAATGTAATTAATGGAGAAAAAATTATTACTTTTTATTAAATTCTTATAAAAAGCTTTCCCAAATATAATCCAGACTAAAAGGCTTTGAAACATTCAGGGTTTTAACCATTTGGAAAAACTCTGACAGACCTTCAATAAAAATTTCATCTTCACACAGAAGAATCCTACAGAAATGTTATGCTGCAGCTGCCCACTCTCACTGGCTGCTGGAGCAAGGCTTTAGTAGTCGAGTGCTCACATTGCCTGCTCGGGGAACATGGTCTACACCACAGGCAGAGCTGTGCTTTCCCTGCACCTGTGACTGCTGGGCAGTCACAGCTGAGCTGTACCTCCCTGAGCAATGACCTGTCTCCTGGCACACAGCAGGGCCCCTGGCCAGTGTGCAGCGGGTGCACCAGAGCTGGCCAGAACAGTGAGTGTTCCCGAGAGCTTCAGCTCTGCGTGCACTGGGGGAAACTACTCAAAGGACCAATTGCAAAAGTTCCTGGCTCTTACCAAACAGTAGCTCTTTCAAAGAAAGCACTTCTAATTGAAATACCATCATTCTTAAGGGAGTTTATTACTGATGACTTACTAAATAAAACAATATTGTCATTAAAATCACATTTTGGTCTCATTTAAGAAACTTATGAGTCTAAAAGGGACTCAGGATAAAGTTATGGGGCAAAGTTACTAACACATTTGGCTGATATTGATTTTATATATATAAAACATCTATATACACACATATACACACGTGTATGTACGTGTGTGTGTGCGCGTGTGTGTGTGTGTATGACTAAGAAGCACGTGTGTGAGCAAACTGAAAAGGACCCCACTATTGGCTCTTGTGTGCTCACAGGTATTCTCTAAAGTTGAATTTCATCATAGGGTGGGAGGATAAGAGGGCTGACCTACAATCAGTACTGTTACAGCCCTTCAATTCACTGCATTAAATTAGAGCTGAAATTAGAAACTAAATCCAAGACCAAGAGAACATGCTCGTGGCTGTCTCCTGCCAACACTGCACTGTGCAGATTAAAAAGGAACACTGAGATCACCAACATGACCTCGACAACAGCACTCTCCACAAGTTCATGTTCAATGCCAAATTAGTAAAGTGCCTCTCTGGATGAGGCAACAAAGAATCTTTCATCTAAAATTTGGCATTTAATAAGTAATTGAATTAAAGTAAATTTTGGTTTTAAGTTTTTATTTGAAACAAAAGTAATTTCCAAAATATAGAGAAATAAGGTAAGATCAAAAGTTCTCAATATCTTTATACTATAATAGTGAGACTATTAATCTGATAAATATCTGCTTCATCAATGGTATAATTACTATAAAGACCGTGCCTGGCAATGATTTAACACTTTCACATTCTTTGCTCCCAGTCAGGATCAGGAGAGTGACCTGACACGTTTGTATGTGCTTTGTCAGCACAGGCACACCCACTGTGCCTCACAGCAGAGTCCATGAGGTCAAGCCAAGTATTTACTGTCTGGCCCTTTAAGGAAAGCTTTGCAGACCCCTGATCAAGATTATTAGTGGTCATTAGCAAATACCTATTATCTCCCCTTAATTATGAGGCTGCTAAATAAGACAATAGTGGATTTAATTCTTGTCAAAGCACAAGTACCAGAACTTCCAGCATCACATCCCGTCCCAGCTCACTTCTGTGGGTCAGGGGCAGACACCCTTCCTACAGCGAGCATGCTGAACCAAAGCCCACCCTACTCCTTCCTGTCCACGGGCCTGGCTGCCTCCGGGACACATATGCGGCAGCTCAAGCAGGGAGCACAGATACCACGACCCAGGAGCTTTGCCCTTTACCCTGGCTCTCCGCTCGGCCTCCAGGCGCTGCATGATCAGCATGGTGTCCACGTCATCATCCTCCTCCTCCTCATCGTCCTCGTCCTTCTGCTTGGACTCCTGCAGTCTCTTCTGGAACTGCCACTCTAGCATGAGCTTGCGCAGGCGGTCACTCTCCTCTGCAGTGCGCTCTGCCCTGCTCTGCAGCTCGTGGATCTCCTTGCTCAGCATGTCCACGATGTGCAGCTGTTGCTGCTTCTCCAGCTTCTCCCTGGCGTCCCGCTTCCAGGGGTCTGGAGACAGGCTGTCCCCAGAGGAAAGCTCCTCTTTGCTGATGGTGATATACTGCAAGTCTCTGCGCTCGATGGTACGGGGCTGCTGCTGGGGCTGCAGCTCTCGAATAACTGTCTCCTGGGGCCTCTGGAGTGTGGATGGCTTCTCAGGCTTTGCCTGAGGGGTGGCCAGGGGAGGGAAGGGAGCAGGGTGCAGAGGTGGTGTACGCATCTGGCCCAGCTTCCTCTCCTGCTCCCTGCGCTTCCTCTCACGCTCCTCTTCCAGGCGGGCCTTCTCCTTCTCATACCACCTCTGGTGCTCCTCCCTCTTCTTCCGTTCTGCAGCTGCCTGAGCCGACTGTGGAACCACCTGGTTGGCGGGAGGGGGTGGGAGAGGCAAATCCATTGGCATCCCATCAAAGTCTCCAGCATAGTGGACAGGAGGTGGAGGTGGAGGCGGAGGCAGCTCTGTTCTGATGGGCTGGGAGATGGCCACTGGGGTGGGCAGCACTGCTGCTGGTGTTTTCCATCGGCCAGGGCCACTTTTGGTCAATGTGGAAGCAGGGGTGGCCGACTTGGAGGAATGGTTCAGGTGCTCTTGGCTGGAGGTGCTGGATTCCACCGAGGAGCTCTGATTTATCCACAGGTCACTGTCAGATTTCCGATCCATAACTGCCTCTACTTGCTGTCGCTCAAGCTGGTAAGCTTTCTCTTCCCGAAGCTCTTCTTGGGAACGGGCAACACGCTGGGAAAAGAAAAAGGAGAAATATTATACTTCAGTTATTCACCAGAAGAAATCACCCCCAATTCACAGACATTTCACATTTGTGGAGAAGACACACTACAGAAACTGATGAACGAGGGTCTAGACTGGAGGCTGGGGCCACCCTGTGGCTCACTAGCCAAGAGGGACTGCAGTGAACTGATCTGCCCAAGAAAGGATGAGCCGTCCCCTCTGCATCACAGGAACAGTCAGGCCCATGGCTGCTGGTGCCTTCCTTGTGCTCCAAGGACAGTGCACAAGGGCTACCAGCCTCGAAGCTGGCTTCTGAGAAAAAGTGAGTGAAGTCTTTACAAAGGGCAGAGCAGTGAGTCCTCTTTAATAAGAATTCTAATCCTCACAAAGAGGAATTATTATATTTAAGCCATTTAATCCACCCTTGGACCATTTCTGAATGAGTCCTGAAGCTTAGGACTAGCTTTATAAGCTCTTTAACAGAGATGTGTCCATGGACAAGGCCCATCCATCTGAGAAGAATCCATTCCTATCCTGGAAATGTAAAAAAGGCAGTGCTATAATCCCGATGGCCATGAGGTTTTATGTGCACATGAAAGAAAAGAGAAATGAACACACTTTCCATAAACAAAAAAGAGAACGTATCACTTTAAAATACAACAGCATAATGGAAAAATGGGACATTTACTTCCAACACTTAGCTACAGCTTTACTTTTCAAACAGAAAGAGCTTCTTCATTACCAGGACACATAATCTACACACTACACGAAGTATTGAATTACATGGAATCTGTGGAACTGCCTCAGGGTCTGCGACTCTGCACCTGTGGTCTGGCAAGACATCCAGGCAGGGGCGAGGAAGGGCATCCAACACTCACAGGACCAGGCTGCCGTGGGCCATCAGGAAAAGGCAGGATGGGCCAGTGGATCAGACCAGAGGACCACTTCTGCCCTCAGAAAATGGGCTATGGCTCTCCTTGTGCACTGCCCCCTGTGAGTGGGATGCTCTCCTCTCTGCCTGCCTGCTTCTCTCACCTTTCAAGGTTCAGCTCAAACCCCACCTTGAGGCTCAGGTCTTCTCTGACACCTGAATGGAAGATTGGCTCTCAAGCAGGTACTTCTTATTTGGTTCCACTCACACCAAGCCCTTGCTTTGCTGGCCCTCAGCGGAACCCTCCACCACAGCAGCACAGACTACCCTGTGTCTACCAGCCCCACTTCCCAGGTACATGACAAGCTCCAGGGATGGAGACAGAAACAAAGTGCAAATGACATCCCTGGTTCTCACTGCTCTGTCCTGCTTCAGGGAGCCCTGCCCCAGAAGTGCAAGGCCTTCTGCCACTAAAGCTTCCTTGCACAGACACAAGAGCATGCAGAAGCCATTCTCTCACTTATCCTATATTCTACACTATGTCTTTTTTCCTCAGACCACAAAACCATAAAAGAAGAAAGAGAAAATTCCAACTGTGCCTCAGAAATCGCTCATCACCCTGTCTCACTGGTCCCTTTTATTCCCTCGAAGGTGCAGAGGTTTGTGGAACCACTTGCTTCTAACCTGAATGGCAACACTGGCATGACTGCTATCTGTGTGCATGTGGGGCTTCTCTTCATAGTCTGGCCACTGGTTCTGAGGAGGAACCATGCGATCCTGGGATTTGGAGGCTGGGAACGTGAAATATTCTCTGGTGTATGTCTGAGTCGGGATGGGATAGGCTTCAGGTCTGGGTGGAGGGCTCTGCTCCTGCAAATTGTGAAGAACAAGGAAGAGTGAGTCATCTGCAACTTTAAACAGATTAATTCCATTTCCAGTGATCTGTTTTAAGATAAAAAAAACCCTATATATGTTAAATACTGTATTAAAAATTAAAAGTGTTTGACTCCATATTGTGAATAATAAAACACATTTCATTTTCTCCAGATTTAATTCAACATGAATTTACCTGACTAGTTACTAAAAATCCAAAAATTAAATGCTATAAATCTGAGAGTCAGAACCAAGGCCACTTTGCTGAGTAAGAGTTGCTTTTTTTTTTTTTTTTAAAGAGAGAGAGAGAGAGAGAGAGAGAGAGAGAGAGAGAGAGAGAGAGAGA